TTATTTCTAAGCAGGAAATAAATGCACAATGGATATTCAATCGACATTTCAATTCGGTGAGTGATAAATAATTCAACTACACCCTTTAACCCCATGCACTCCCAATCTCAACAATTCCATTTCATTTCCTCATTTCCCACAATTAATTATCTCAATTAATTAAACAATGTAATTAGGTCATTTTCCATAATTACCATTACCACCCTTAGGTCCCATTTTCAACAATGATTCAACATTTATTCCATTTCTCTATACCAAACATGCATCTAGGTTTATTACAAATAAAACCCCAACTTTTGTAAAATAACACAAAAGGCCCAAACTTTCACAAAATTACCAAACCAACCCCAACATCTCAAATTACCAAAATTTAAAGACAAAATCCATAGAGAGGAGTAGGATATCCCTACCTCAAATCAGAGCTCCAAGGGAGAAGATGAGTAAAACTCAGAAGTGCTCCAAATCCCAAATTTCTCAAATCTCAACAAAGCCCTCGACGATCAACACACTTCTTACAAAGGCCCAAGGTGAGGAAAACACTCTAGGTAGATCAATCCTAAGAGAGAAGTTCGGTTTTAGAGTGAGGTGCTCTCCAATGGAGGTTTTGAAAAAGTAAGAGAGAGAAAGGAAATCAAAAAGTGATCAAAAAGGTGGTTTCACGAACTGATATAAAAGCAGGTCCGCTCGAGCGTACAACACCCCGCTCGAGCGTACAGACACAGGTTCACGCTCGAGCGTCCAAAGATCCGCTCGAGCGCCGGGTGCACTCTCCCAGAATTTTCTGCAGACGACCAAAATGCTGAGAGAAGGAAATTCACGCTCGAACGGCCAACCTCCCGCTCGAGCGCAGAATGCACTCGCTCAGCACTTTTGCAGAGCCAGACCCACGCTCGAGCTCCCAACCCTACGCTCGAGCGTACAACGCTGCACAGGAAAATACTGAAAGGGTGTAATCTCCGCTCGAGCGCCAAAATCCCCGCTCGAGCGTACAGGCCAAAAATTCTGGGCAACTAGTTTTGGTTTCTAAACTCAACCAACCTGTAACAAATCCGCCCAACACATCCTATAACTCAAATACGAAGTAAAAAGGATGCAAACAAGATAATAAACAACTACCAACATCCACGGACACATGTCCGGATCACGGTATAACAAGGGTAAACCCGGGATCGCTATACACAGCATATAAGTATAGACCGGGTCCTCGAAATTAAAGATACATCAAAACACAAGGCCAAAAGATCATAGAGCATTCAACAACCGAACCCCAAGGAAAGAAATTACTTTCAAAACAAACCTCCGACTCACTCTACCCAGGAAAAGACCAACCAAGGGAACACATTCTAAATAACACCACTTTAGGCGCGCAAGTCTCAACAAACCAAACCTCCCCCGAAACAATTCACCAAAAACCGACTAGTGCTCCAAGCTTAGTCACTACTCAACAACACGACTAAAGCAAATCTTAAAGTAGATAATAAGAAAACATTTTCTTGTTCAAGAGGCATTTCCCAAAGATGTTTAAATTTTCAACGTTAACGTTCCGGAATAAATCTTGCATGTTCCGTACGAAAACTCAAAAGCTTTGCAAACATTTTTCACAAATACGGTGTTACCCAAAAAGCAGAGTCATCCACAGTTTATTTGCCAAAAGATTAATCTGGAATCCTTTAAAATTCTTGAATTAAATCAACTTTTCACCAACGCATTTATATGGTCCAAACACTGGAAAAAATTTTGTTTTCCATTTCCTTCCAAAACAGTACTATCCACAACCATCTCTCACACAGTGATACCACAACCAACACAGACTATAACATTTCCATAATGATAGTTAATAGAAATAACAATAGTACTAACATCACATAAGTCATAAGAAATTCATGATTTTGCAATTTCATCCCAAGAATACCCCCCTGTAATACGTAAATGATACACATTTTAGTGCTGTATCAATATCAAACCAAACATCATACATACCTAATGTACAAAAAGAAACCAAACATCATACATACATAATGTATAAAAAGCCAATCCTTCAGTATGATCAATCAATACATATATTAGATGTATTACTCCAACCGTCAGATTCAACGATAAATGTTCGATTAGTTTCAGTTTTTCCTAATCAACATACAAAGTCTACAACAAACGAGACTAAACTCAAGGTGACCAATGCCACCCCAACACCCGATACCGACAAGCTGACTAGTCAACTCAATAAACTCTACACTCAGTAATCCACACACAACAATGGATAACCAATCACAATATGAACACTACCCCTATACAACCAAGGGGGGTCATCACGGACTCACTGTCTAGCAAGGCCCAACACACAAACCAGCATACAGGTACCATTCCCACTAACTCGAGATACAAATCTCACGTTCCCTCGAACATTCTCATATAGTCCTGCCAACACCGCGCAACTCTCGAAACCATCCCATCTAACACATTCAACCGTACTAGGCAAAACCTCCTTATTTTGCAAGCCCTCTTACTCCTACACCGAATCCTCCAATAACTCATAGGGTCCACTCGTTACTCTATATCTTACTTGTCACTCATCTCGAGAGTACCATCAAGAGGCCCGGCCTCCGTGCTAAACCACTAGTCCACACTACCGCTAGGCAACCATCATGAACCAAACCCCGACACCGTCACAAGTCGCCGATAGGGCTTCCAAAGATTCACTCATCTCCCACACCGAATCCGTAAAAGTCCTCGCCTCCCTCGTCATTAACCCACATCTTCATCCGCAAACACCATACCACTGTGACTCCACCCACGGGTCACACTCTAACCACGGGCTATACACC